CATAGCGACCCCTCCTTGGGTTTTCGAGGCAGTATCACTACGGAAGTAGGATTGCCCAACCTTCCTTCCGAGGAGTGGCTGGTGGGAGTGCTATATAGAAGGTAGTAAAACCCAGATTCTGCTCTTAAGAAATTTTGTTAAGCTTTGTGGTAGACAAAGACATTTATACAACATAGGAAGAATGACACATATTTTAAGCAGTTTCTAATAAAGTGATATAGGAATGAATAATAAATTGATTGAATAATAAATTAGTTGGTTAAGGGATGCTTTACAGAAAAGGTGATATTTAAGCTGATGATGGGTGAGAAGATTAGAAGAAATTTAATTGAAAATTATTGGGTACTGGTTTTTCTAAACCAGTGTATATATATAATGCATGTGCAAAATAAAGATGACTTAGGAATAAAAAACAGAATGGGGAAACAAGGCATATAAAGAGATTCTTTGAGAGATGAGGTTACTATGGGAGCTTAGAGCCTAAAATACTATGCTCAGTAATTTGGATTTTATTTTGCAGGTAAGAGGGAATAAGCATAGCTTTTTGAGGAAGAAGTATGAGAACCATATTATGTTTTAGAAAAAGAAATCTGATGACAATTATGAGAGGCAATAGGCTGCAAGTGAAGAGATCAGTTGTTGTTGTTGTTGTTATGTGCCATTGAGTCGGCCCCGACTCATAGCGACCCCTCCTTGGGTTTTCGAGGCAGTATCACTACGGAAGTATTAAAATTAAGTGAAAGATGAAATTCTTACATAGAAATCAGCTGAAGTTACAAGATTTAAGGTGACTGTCTCTACGAAGAAGATAAAACAGTGAACAGAATGAGGAAGCTTGATAAGCTCATCTTTGAGATACAACATTTGAAAGACCAATAGACTATTGAGTAGGCAGTTTAGACATGAGTACGCTGTTTAGAGAGAGATAGATGAAGTCATGACAGTGATGAGATTAACAGGAAGCACGTGTGAGGGAAGATAAGGTAAAGAACAGTCCAGAAGAACTACTATATTTAGAAGAGACAAAGATACTGAGAAGCAACAGATGTAAGAGGAATGACCTTGAGAAAGGACTGGTACATGTGACAATAAGGGCATCATTGGTGATGGTATGGAAGAGTTTTTGTTACATAGTAAGATTGTCAGAGCAAAAATAATCACGGAAAGAAAACAGGAAACATTTGAAAAGTTAGGCAATGAGGGAAAAGAAGGTTGGTAACATTTTTAGGCTGAGGAAAAGAGCCAGCAAAGAAGTAAAAATGGAAGAAGGAGTGTGTGTGGAGTGGGAAGGATGAGATAGGTGATCATGAAAGGGGCCCAAGAAAAGGGGAAGTAATTAATATCAAGATGTAGAAGGGGCTGATTTCAGAATATAAGAAGGGAAATAAAATGTCATTCTTCAATTCTTTTATGTTCCATTTTTAAGGATGGCTCATTTCTGGTTTAACCCTTCTGCTGAGAGTATAAATGAGAATTAAAACAGAAAAAGATTTCAGAACAGTGAACAGAAGTTCAGAACCACCTTTGTATTTCTGAGTGCAAATTAGAACAGACTTGAGGAAACATTAGAACAAAGTTAATAGAGGAACAGGCAAAAGGGGTGGGAGGTGGGGCTTCTCTGGATCACTGAGACTGATTCAGAAGGCAAAGGACAAATGGCTGCATATTATTCAATGTTTGGCCTTCCACATTCAGAGAATAAGACAGCCATGGCCATTTCTTTTTTCCTCTCCTACAATAAATGCCATATAAACAAGAGGACTGCATGAGTTTATTTTGTGTGGTACAGTGAACTAGTTGGTATAGCTTTTCTAACCAGTCTTTGTGACTCCCACCACTGGGTGAAACCATGCAAATAAGGTATATGGAACTCTCTGGTAGCATAGTGGCTAAAGCACTTGACTGCTAACCAGAAGGCTGGCGGTTCAAACCCACCAGCCACTCCTTGGAAGGAAGGTTGGGCAATCCTACTTCCGTAGTGATACTGCCTCGGAAACCCAAGGAGGGGTCGCTATGAGTCGGAGCCGACTCGACGGCACATAACAACAACAACAACAACAATGTGGGGATTGGTTTTGTAATTTGGCTAGGCTTAAAATAAGCCCTCCTAGAGACAGAAAGGGGGATCTCACTGCCATCAAGGAAGAAGAGTAGAGGTGGAATAAAGAGCATTCTTAGACCTGAGATCCCTGTGCTGGACCTCTTGGCAGACCAGCAGAGACGACCAGCTGAGGAACCAACAGGCATGAAACAGAGCAACGGGCTTGCTGGCCTGCTGGCCCACAAAGTGAGAAAGCTGAGTGCCTTTGGGCAGGAGGCTTACTGGCAGAGTGGGCTGCATGCAAGTGTCCCTGTTGGCAGAGTTTTATAACACTTGCCTGAGCAAAGCAGAGGTTGGGCCAAGAGGCCAAGGACAAGGGAAGCATGCCTGAGGGCAAAGTGGAGGGGAAACTGCAAAAAGGGCAGGGAGGCCACATGTTCTGACCTCCTCTAATCCTACAAGAGGAAGACAGGATTACCAGCAGTAACGCAAGGCCTATTACTGCAAGGCCAGACATGCTGCCTCCCTCTAGCCCTTTGACCAACCGTTCCTCCCAAAACATACACCACCTCTCTCCTGGGTTCGATAATTCGCTGCTGTGGCCACACAGAGCTCACAGATTATGGGGTTTATTAGGGAAGCACGACAGGCTACAATTCAAGTTCAGGAAAAAATGCTCAGTCTCTCTCCCAGCCCCACCGTCCCTCAGCCAACAGTCTCTCACAGTCTCTTTCCCAGCAGTGCTGGTCCCTCAGTGTCTCACTCAGCAATGCATGTCTCTTGCATCTGTTTCCCAGCAGCATGTCTCAGGAGCCCGTGTCTCTTTCAGCAGCACGTCTTCCTCAACCAGCAGTCAGAGAGAGAGAGAGTTCTGCCCCTAGGAAGCCTCCTTTTGAGCCCGGCAGGGTGGTCAAACTAGCCAATCATAGCATCAGAACTCTAAGCACCTGAGAGAGAGTGGGCACCTCCTAGAAAATTGTTTTGTGCCACTCCCAACAGAAATACTCCAGGTGGACAACTTCAGCAATCAGGAGCTCCTCAGTTGCTCATAGAAAATCCCACCTTGGAGTTTACAAGGACTTATGGGTAGAAAAGCCACACAAAGTAATTTACTACACCGCAGAGACTATCCTGAGGAAAAATTGCATCCCGAGAGCATTCCTGAATCTGAACTGTAACCTGTTACTTCCCTAATAAACTGCATAATCTTGTATTGTCTCTGAGTTCTGTGTGGCAAATGCAATGAATTATCAACCGTGCAGAGAAGTAATGAGTGCTATAGAAGGAGTAGATGGTTTGTATCAGAGTTGGTAAAAAGGCTGGAGGGTGGTCGTATGTTTAGCATTATAGGAATAAGCCTTGGGCTGCTGATGGTGACTCTTTCCCTCTCACGAGGTTAGAGGAAATCAGAGGATGCTGCTCCCACATCCTTTTTACATTTTGTTTTACTTTAGGCAATCTAAATACCAAAGAAATTTAAAACAAGTTTACCTCGAAAGAAAATGTGGCCTTAGATAAATAACACTTCAAGAACTCAAGTCATGCATCTCTTACCGTGGGCCCTGACTAATAACAACTCAGGTGCAAGGTAATCTGGAGTTCCTAGAATTCGTCCATCATCCACTGGGGCTGCTCCTCTTCTCACACTCTTTGGAGTTCGGTATGGAGTTCCTGACTTGTTTTGATTTGGGGTCTGTTAATTTACAAAGAGTTTGAAAGACAGCAAATATATTAATTCCTTTGACAGTGTATAGAAATGCTGAAATAAAAGGAAATTGAGGGCATAGGCTGCCAGGCATAAAATATGTACTCAAACCTTTCCTTTGCCAGTTTTGAATATGGACACAGTAACTATGTATAATCATGAAATGTCCTAATAGCTAATGAAGTTTAATACCTTAGATAACTCCAATCCTTTCAATAAGATTTATATATGCAAGAAACCATGAAAAAATCCACAAGAAAGAGTTCTTTGATAGCATGGATTAATACAAGGCTAACAGCCACTGAGGGAGGCTATGACTAATAAATGATTGCAATATTAGGACAGTACATAAGATAGAATAATGTCTTGTACTAAATGGCATTTAAAAGTTTTCATGATATTTTGTTGTCTCACACCAATCCTGTGGGATCAGTAGGACAGACCATTATCCCCTATAGATAGTAAGGGACTTCTAAGTCACTCAGTAAGTTTCAGATAGAAAACCCAAGTCTTGTAACCATAAGTTCAAGGTTTATAGTTTTTATATTATGATGTCTCTCAATAGTAAGAAAAAAAAAATGACACTGTGGGTTTATAAGATAAAAGTCTAAAAAATAAAAACAAAATAAGATTTGAAATACAAAGTTTTAAATTTCTTTTCTATAAAGAAAAGAGATTATCTAATCTTAGAAGGCAGTGAGGTAGAATGGACATAAATTTTGTATCAGAGTGTTGCAAGGATCAAGTGAAAATATGTGATTGTTATTTTCTTAGTAAGTATACAGAGCTATGCAAATGGAAGAAGGCATTGTACTCAAATAATAATTATAAATGTTATTATTACCAGCTTTATCTTTCTATATTAAAATTCCCCAAACCCATAGATTCTCAACAAAGGGAACAAAAATATATGTTAGGCACAGTCCAATTGAGAGGCAAGTCTCTGACCTTAGTTTATTTCCCCATAATCAAAACAACAGAGTCTTAGAAAAATTGTAACATACCTGATATGGTATAAAGGATCTTCTTTTTTGATTGGGGGTTATCACCATGCGATATGAATCACTGTAAGCACATGAAATATCCATAGCATCTAAAGAAGTAATGCTCGTTTTGGATGGTTCTGAGTTATTGGATGCATTAACATGGTTGTTAAAACTTCGAAAAGCTACAACATTTTTCTTAGACACGGTTAATGTTTTCAACACCTCTGAAGAGGGAGCTAACATTTTTTCATTGTTGTCTTGGATTGCAGGATTCTCATCACCTTTTGGCAAGGCATTTTCTTGATGGTTTGGTGATACATTCAGTACATCTACAATATTTGATTCTTCAAAAGAGCTTTCTTTGATGCTTTTCTCTGGATCTAAGGACTGCTTTTCTAATGAACTTTCCATTATAGAAATCCCAGGAAAAGATGAATCAGAATCCATACACATACTTTTAGAAGCTCTATCATCATCAGAACATAGAAAACTAGAACTTAAGTAATCCTTCTTACTGTTCCTGTCACAATCTTCATCTAGTTCACACAGAAGGTTTTTGGCTATCATTGGGATAGGTGATTTTTCTGGTGTTTGTTGTTTATCAATAAAAGAATTGACAATGTTCTTATTATCACAGTCACTTTGCTGACTTCTGTATACTGATATCTTAAGGTCCTGGACTTCAGCTGTTAAGCTTGTACTTTGATTTATATGACAATCCATCATTTCATTACTACAATCATACTCTACACAATTTTTTTTATTCTGTATAATTTTCTGACAAGGACTAGAATCAATGAACTCAAAATTTCTTTTTAAACCCTTTTTTCCCCGGTGATCATCAGTCATATTACTAGAATCAACACTCCACTGATGTGACTGATGGAAATCAGACTGGCTTGTATCAGTGGGCATATTAATATTATTTACATCCAGTTCCCTAGCTTCCCAAGAAACTTTCCCAGAGAAGCATGTTTTTGCAACGTTTACCAAAGAGCTTCCAGTGTCAGGAATCCCAGTGCTGGAGTGAATGGGAGAAAGGGCTAACTCAAGATCCTTTTTATGGAAATTTCTGGTCTCGATGGCATTTGTAGATTTTGTACATAAAGGTTTTTCAATTGCATTTGAACTCATCACTGTAGAGCCCAATGCCTCATCATTTTCCTGAGAGGTGAAAAATAAGTTATTTTAGTTTTTTAAAGCTAAGATTTTTAACTTTGTTGACTTTTGTACACGTAGATGAGATAAATGGCCTCATTAACCCCTATGTTACCTATTCCCACTTTTCAGTGGAACAGAAGAACAATGATAATAGAGAATGAAAAAGAAAAATAAATCATTAGAGTGTATGTTTATATATATTATTATGAGTAATAACAAACATCAGTCTACAAACGGATACCTAGGTACACATGCAAAACAATCAGGTATAGGTAGGTGTGGCAGTAAGGTTGTGTGTCAGCTTGGCTGGGCCTGGTTTTGAGTGGCTAGGCAGCTGGGTGTAGTTATTCCCCATGAGGAGTTGATTCCCCATCAACTCCATGGTGGAATCTACTGGAGCAGCTGAGTAGCTGCTTAAGAATGTGGTCTGCTTCTAGTATATAAGAAGACAGGTTTGGGGAAGGTCTCTAAGCTTTTTGGCACACTTGGACCCTTGCATGTAGCTGAGTCTTCATTCAGCAACCTGCCATGTTGTCTGCCAATCTTGGGACTGTTTCTGGAATTGAACTAGTGGCGTGCCATGTTGCTTGATAATCTTGGGACTGTCTCATTTTACTTGTCAACCTTGGGTTTGTCAGCCTCACCAGCCAGTAGCTGCCTGAGTTAAGAGAAGCCTCTAGCTCCAGTGGGCCAGGAGCAAGAGGCAGAGCTGAAGCCCAAAGTCAGTGGGCCTTCACCCAGCCCCTAGAGCTTTGAACTCAGACTTCTAGCCTCTTAAACTGTAACAGAATAAACCAAACTACCCATTTGTGGTATTTTCTGTAAGAGCAACACTAGAGAACCAAAACAGCAGGCAAATGGGACTATACCCACAACCATATATAAGTTTGGCAGAGGATATTCTACATACATATTTGTGCATGCTATAAAAATGTCCATGCATATAGTAAAGCTAACAGGGGGTAAAGTTGTGAAAACTTCTTAGCCAAAACTAAACACCTTGAGGGAATGAGTCACTGGGCCTGTGGGCTCAGGACCATAGTCGCAGGGGATATCAAGATCAGCTGGCATAACATAGTCCACAAAGTCACTGTTTTACATCCTCCTTTGGTGACTAGAGACTAGGGTCTTAAAAGCTTGCAAACGGCCACCTAACACACAACTATTTGTCTCTCCTTGTCTGGAGCAAAGAAGAGTAAAGAAAATCAAAGATACATGGAAACAATTACTCCAAGGGATTAGTAGACCGTGGGAATCTCAGCCTTCATGACCCTGAGAACTAGATGGTGCCCAACTACCACTCTGATAGGAATCAAAATTAGAGATCCTGAATAGAGTTGGAGAAAAATGTAGAAAAAAACTCAAAATAATAAAAAAAAAGATCAGGCTTACTAGTCTGATAGAAACTGGTGGGACCCCCGAGACTATGGCCCTTAGTCACCTTCAAGCCTGGAAGTGAACTCACTCCAATGGCTTAACCTTCAGCCAAACAAAAGACAGACCTACGAAGTGAACAACAACATCAGCAAGGTAAGCACTCCTTAAAACAATCAACCATAGGAGAGCAAAAAGGCAGCATTTGCCCAAGAATAAAACTCAGAAGGCAGGAGTGAATAGGAAAGAAGGACAAAGGGAAATGGTAACCCCAGGGAGCAGATGGGAGGAGTGTTATTACATTGTGGGGATTTCAATCGGTTCACGAAACAAAATGTGTATGAACTATTGAAGGAAAATGAATTTGCACTGTAAACTTTGACCTAAACAACAATAAAAAGTTAAAAAATAAACAACTAGCTAATATAGCCAGCTGAGTAGGGAATTTGAAAAAAAGAAGGAGCAATATTTAGATGCCTAGAAGCCAAACATACATCAATTTACAAGAATTTTAAAAATTGGCATCTCCTTATATAGTCAAACAAGAACAATTTCATAGCTGAATGAGTAATGAAATATTTCAAAATAATTTGACAGAATGTACAAGACAGTGAAGAATTTTAAGTATCTTGACTGCCATTCATGTAACAATTTCATTTCCTTACAGAATTTATATGAAAAGGTATGAATGTTTATCTATCAATCTGAAATATATAATTATTTTAAGTAAGATAAAATTCACCCTAACCTGGCAATCCTTTTCCCATCTGGGGCTGCTGTGGTATTCTGATTCCATACTAGATAGAAAAGTATGGGATTGACTACTGGCACTTGATGTAGCCAACCTTTTCCTAGATTGGAGTAGATTTGAAGTTAGACACTTCACAGGCATTCCTGGGTTAGAGGCAACTGTTTCAAGACCTATGGGAAAGAGAAAAAAAAATTAAGCTTATGTCACATCTTCCTTAGTTCCTAGCCTGAATGTTTCTTCTATAGGTAATTAGCAACAAAATAAGGAACTGCATATCATAAATATTTCTACATAAATACTATTCAATCCACATGGAATGGCTGCATGTCTTTCTGGCATGCTTCCTATGTTTAGGTATACCAATTGTTATAAATACTAGTACTGTGCTGAAAATTTAAAACAAAACAAAACCCCCTCCACATTAGTGAAATCAAAATCAGGACAAAGGAAACAATTTATAATTTGGAGGAAATCAATTCTGAATACCCATTATCCAATTTGAAATTATTCTTGATAAAGAAACATTACTGAAATGCTATATCCAGATATGCTATAAGGTTGAAATTGACCAGATTTACTTAATTCAATTTCTATTTAATTAAAATTATAGCTTTATTTTAATGTTGAGGTTTATACATTTATAAGGATGAACAATTCATATCCTTAAGATATTTCCTTATTATCACTGGATAAAACAAATAAGTAATGGTAAACTGGCAGACAATGAACCGGTACAATAAAGCAATACTATCCACGTGATATTCTTTTATGATATGTCAATGAATAATGAGTTAAAAATTGTTCCTTCTCCAAACACGGGTATACACATGGACAGATGGGTGGGCAGGCTGAACTATTAGGTACGTCTGTGCAGCAGGGAGTGTACCCAAGACCATGTATAGGGTTGGTAGACAATGGTTATACAAGTGTATTTGTATGTTCTATAAGAATTCCCAGGGGTATAGTAGAGCTGACAATGGACAAGGTTGTAGTCACTTCTTGGTCACAGCCAGCTAACCAGAGGGAGCAAGTAGTTGAACCTGTGGGCTCAGGACCATAGTCACAGGGGACATCAAGCTCAATTGGCATAACATACTACACAAAACATTGTTCCACCTTCTACTGTGGCGAGTAGTGACTGGGAGCTTATAAGCTTGCAAGCAGCCATCTAGACGCAACAATGGGTCTCTTCTCATCCAGAGCTAAGAAGAATGAGGAAAACTAAAGATTCATGGAAACAATTAGTCCTCGTGACCAGTACACCATGCGATCCTCAGTCTATATGACTATGAGACCAGAAGAACTAGATGATGCCTGGCTACCACTGTCAACCACTCAGAGGGGGTCTATTGAGGAGATCCTGGATAGAGAGGGAGAACAATGTGGAACAAAACTCAAAATAATTTCGGGGGAAAAAAAAAAAGACCAGGTTTGCTGGTCTGATAGAGCCTGGTGGAACCACTGAGACTATGGCCCCTAGCTGCTCTTCAGGTCTAGAATTGAACCCACACCTGTGGCTTCCAGCCAAACAAAAGATAGCCATATGAGTTGAACATACACCTGAGGTAGATACACTCCTTGGAGAGAACAATCATGGGAGAAAGAGGGGCTGTTTATGCACTGGGAGACAGTTCAGGGGGCAGGAGTGCATGAAGGGATGGACACAGGGAAGCGGTAACTATCGGGAGGAAGTGGAAGGGGAGCTGTTGCATTGTGGTAAATTGTGGTCAATGTCATGAGACAACATATGTATGAACTGCTGTATGAAAAGTGAATGTGCTCTGTAAACTTTCACCCAAATCACAATTTTTTTAAAAAATTGTTCCTTCTCAACTTAAAATTAGATACAATAAGACAACTGGAATTTTATTAAGGACCATAACACATGCATTTTACATAACTTTTCTCTTTCCCAAGAAAGGTGGATATGACTCTAATCTCAAGAAAATTCTTAGTCTTACAACTTTGTGATCTATCAAGCATAGAACTTTAACATTGAAAGGAGAATTTTCGTCTATCTTATTGAACCTTCTTTTTGGTGCATGCATTCTCTCAGTGGAATTCCTGAATCTCACTGAGCACAGACCTTGCTACTTGGCTAATTTGCTCAGCTGCATTCCCTCAGTATTATGGGAACTTGTATCTAATCGAATGCCATGTACATACTATATGGTTATTATGAGTTCTGTCTGAACCACTGAAATAATCATACTATTCCTTACTTAAGAATCTTTGATAGCTCCCCATTTTCTATAACTTAATATATGTGTTTGACTTTTTATTCTGATTTGGGTAAAAGTTTACAGAGCAAATTCATTTTCCATTCAAAGTTCATACACAGTTTGTTTCATGACACTGATTGCAGTCCCCACAATGTAACAGCTCTTTTCCCACTTCCTACCTGTGGTTACCATTTCCCTGTGTCCTTCTTTCCTATGCATTCCTGCCATAAACTTTATCCCTGTACAAATGCTACTCTTTTGATCTCTTGATTATGCTAAGGAGTGCTTACCTCCCTGGTGTAATTGTTCATCTGGTAGACCTGTCTATTATTTAGCTGAAGTAAACCAATTGAACTCATTGAAGTGAGTTCATTTCCAGCACCAAAGGGTGATGAGGAGCCATAGTCTTAGGGCTTTCACCAACCTCTATCAGACTAGTAAGCCTGTTTTTTTTTTTGTTGTTGTTGTTTGTTTGTTTTTTAAATTATTATTTTGAATTTAGTTCTACATTTTTCTCCCACTCTATCTGGGATCTGTAAGTTTTATCTTTTTCAGAGTGGTTGACAGTGGTAGTCAGGCACCACCTAGTTCTTCTGGTCTCAGTGTCGTGAAGACTTAGGTTCCCATGGTCCACTAGTCCCTTGGGCTAATTGTTTCCATGTGTCTTTGATTTTCTCCACCCTGCTTTGTTCCGCACAAGGAGGGACCAGTATTTGTACCATAGATGGCTGCTTACAAGCTTTTAAGACCCTAATTGCTCGTCACCAAAGTAGGATGTGGAGCACAGTCTTTGTGGACTATGTTATGCCACATGACCTTGATGTCCGCTGCAACTAGTACTGATTCTCTCAAGGTACTTGGTTTTGCCTAAGAAGTTATCATAACTTTCCCCCTGTTAACACTATTTTATATATGGACATTTTTATAGCACATACAAATACAAATGTAGAGATACTGTCCACCAAATGTATATATGGTGATGGTATAGTCTCATTCACATACTTACCTGATCATCTTACGTAACTACCTATCTATCCACTTGTAGTTTAATGTTTGTTATTACTGATAATGCAATACTGTAATAGTGTTACCTTTGTTGTGTGTAATTCTTATGCACCTTACCATGAGTTCTTTTTCCTTAGTGATATTGTCCGGTCACCTGCTTTTGGTATATTGCCTTTCCCTTCACCCAAATCAATGTGTCTCTTACTAGGAATGTGTCTCTTAGCTAGTAATTTTTCCTCCCCTCCCCTCTACTTCCTGTTAACTATCAAAGAATGTTTCTTTCCATGTATAAACCTTGCCTTGACTTTTATAATAATCCTCCACATTACATTTAATCCCTATTGTCTAAATGTGGAATGTACTTTCATGCACCTGTCTCTCTGCTCTATTAGTTCCTCAACTAGAAATGCCCTTTCCACTATATTGCCATTATTAACATCCTACTTCATTCTGGGTCCAGCTTGGCTATTGCTATATCATTATTTAGAACCATTTTAACAATGAAATAGAGGAAAATAAGAACCTATTGTTGTCAAATGATTCCAATAGGACAGAGTAGAACTGTGCCCATACGATTAGCAAGACTGTAAATCTTTATGGAAGCAAACTGTCCATCTTTCTTCCACAGAGCAGCTGGTGGGTTCTAACCACCAACCTCTCGATTAGTAGCTGAACACTTAATCACTGTGTCACAAGGGCTCTTTTGTTACCAAATACCTTGACATGTTTTTCTTCTTTTAGTCATTTAATTAGGTTGAGGAGGAATATTTTATAGTCATGCATACACTTGCCAGAGACTTCAAATATGTGCATATTTAAATTACTAACATTGATACTCAAAATTTAAAAATTTTAAATCATTTAGTTTCTCAAAGGACACACTTAATAGAAAAAGCTACCTTTTCATTTTATACTTACATGATTTTAGTAGTTTGCTAGCATAAGTAGTATCCTTTTGATCTACAGACATAGGACAAATTAGTCCTTGAGAAAACTGTGATGTTTCAGATACATGGGTTGAAAGAATATCTGTACAGTCTTGAATGTTTTCTGCAACTGGTGTGTACTATTAAAAAGAGAAACATTAAAAAAAAAAAAAAAGCTAGAGATTTACCTTCACAAAAATCCCTCCAAAGTAGGTACACTATGATACCTCTAAATAGATATACTATTAAGCTAAAAGTAACTCAACATGCTTGAGTATTTAAATCTTTTTAGAATGTTTTTTAAAAAGAAAAGAAAGGCAGTTCAGAATATAAGAAAGAAAATGCTAGGATTTAAAATTTTAAATGGCCACCACAGAAAAGGCATGTTATGTGAGTTTTTTCTCATCAAGTACTTACAAATCCCAAAGAGCTAATGAGAGATAATACTTGTCCTGGAGTTCTTGAATAGTCTTGTCTAGGTTTAGCCATTGATGGTGTTGTAAGGATATCCATCATATTGATATCTATGTATGCAAAGTATATAAAATTCTTTAAAAACTCAGCTGTCGTCAACTAAGTCAATAATCACATGTTCTGAACTTTGTTTCTCTTTCCATGTTATTAACCTTACCTACAACTGGCTAGTATAAATTAAATATACCCAGGGAAGCTATCACACTGTAAAGGAAAAATAATTTGTGAACTGGTAGAAATCATTAAAAAGTTTCAAAGGATCAAGTCTTGCTCTAAAATGAATGGAGCACAGTAAAATGACCCAAATACTTACATTTTAGGGAGTACTCAGTAACTAACATATATACATGATCAACTGCATGTGAATTTCTCTGACAGTTTGTTTATTAAGGTCTTGGTGATGGTAATGTACATTTGCATAAGTTCTTCAGCTATCAATCCTTTATCACATTATAGATATTTTAGTAATTTTACTGATGGTTTATTGGTAAGAACTAGTTTCAGTAGAAATTTTAAAAAATCAGTAGAATAGAAATGATTCTCTCCAAGAGATCATCAAGGATCTCTGAAGATCCAAGAATAATTATTCCCATTTTTCATCTTTAACTGAAAAAAAGATACCTTTACACCATTCTAGTCTATTTTGGAAAAAATAATCAATAAATTTTATTCAATATAAACTAACAAAGTAGTTTCAGGTAAGGAAATACAGTGTTTAAAATTTGTTATTTTTAAAAAAGGTTGTTTTACTTACCTCTATTCAAAGTAACTTTGGAGAGGCCAAAATCTGTCAGTTTAATATGACCCTCATTAGAAATAAGCATATTGTCTGGTTTCAAATCCCTGCACATAAAAAAAGCAAAGAGCAGATAACTAATAAAGGGCCAGTGTTAATTTTAGAATTGCCAAGAAAGATAAAGTTACAGACCCTATTTATCTTCTCTAAAATATGGCACTCACAAGTGGTTTTGAAAAGTGCAGAAAATAAATCTCAAAGCAAAATATCTTTTGTATACCTGAATCTATTTAAGAAAAAAAAAAAAGTTAGCTGGTGAATTCTAGATCATCTTTGGCATTACTTACTAAGTTTCATTAGATAAAATAAATCTCAAGTCAAGTAAAACAAAAATCACATTTACCTCTGCAAAAGAAAGTAAGATTAAGCCTTTAATAGAGCAGAGCCTATTAACCTAACTTTCTTCACAGAAAGAAAAATATTGTAATCATCTGGGCCTAAAAAAAACAGCACTTTTGTACAATGGTAGAGAAGTGGAAAAGGATACAACATACTTCACATTAAAATGCTATACTCAAACCCCAAAACTACTGCCCTTAATTAATCTTTAAACCTTAAACAAAAATATTCCTGGAAGTCTTCTTAAAACCAAACAATAGTTTAGCTTGAACTAGTAAAGAATCTCTACCTTGAGCATTATGCTATTTTAAGATCTATCTATATGGGATCAAATTGACAACAGTAAATAGAAAGGAACCTTATGAGTCAGTGAGTTTATGTTAATAAGGGAGGAATCTGGTAGCACAGTGCCTAAAGTACCTGACTGCTAACCAGAAGGCTGGTGGTTCAAACCCACCAGCCACTCCTCAGAGGGAAGGTTGGGCAATCTACTTCTGTAGTGAAACCACCTCGGAAACCAAAGGAGGGGTCACTATGAGTCGGGGCCGACACGATGGCACAAAACAACAACTCAGAAAAGGAGAGTGAAAATGGTTGCACAACTCAAAGAATGTAATCAGTATCACTAAATTGTAAGTGTAAAAACTTGAATTGGTATATGTTTTTGCTGCACATATTTTCAATAACAATAAAATAATTAAAAAATAAAATGCTATACTGAAGACCAAAGCAACATACTCAAAAATCACAGACAAAAGAAGAGCTGATGAAATTTCTAAAGTCATACAAGTTAGCACTTTAGATAACCTGGATATATGGACAAGTGCTTACTGTAAATATCTGAGACTCAAACATATAATACATTAATTGATTACTTGTATTTTTAAACAGTAGTTTAGGGGAAAGTCATTACCTGTGGATGATCCCATGTCTATGAAGGTAATCTAGAGCCAGTACTACTTCAGAAATGTATTTCACAGCCATTTCTTCATCAAAATAACCATATATATGTAGAAGAGACTTGACATCTCCACCAATAAGATATTCCATTATCTATCAAAAAGAATGTAAGTGTATCATGGGAGAAAGAAGGGCTGCTTATGCACAGGGAGACAGCTCAGGGGGCAGGAGTGCATGGAGGGGTGGACACAGGGAAGAGGTAACTATGGGGAGGAAGTGGGAGGGGAGCTGTTGCATTGTGGTAAACTGTGGTCAATGTCATGAGACAAAGTATATGTGAACTGCTGTATGGAAAGTAAATTTGCTCTGTAAATTTTCACCCAAATCACACACAAAAAAAGTAAGTGTTGCACAATTAAAATCAATATAATTGCTTAAACTTCACAAATAAATATATTTTTGGTATATATTTTTAGTATGGTTCTATGACAAAAGTTTTCTTGGTATCACCCATTACACATTAGTACCAGTTTTCCTCAAATTGCAATATAGAGGTTTCCGGTTTTCTTTTTTTTTTAATTTAATTAAGCTATTTAGTCTAAAGAAAAAGTCTTTTTTTTTTCCAACAGAAAAGTTGCAAAAATATTAGAATAATTTCCCATCTATCCTTCATCTAGATTCACCCATTAACATTTTGCTCATTTTTTTCCTTCCCTTTCCACATATATGTGTATAAAATAATATCTGTATTAATATACAAGTTTTGTTTTTATCCCACTGACCAATTTGAGAATGAAGTTAAAGAGAAAAGGACCTCCAGTAAATTCATCATATAACTCCTTGTAAGGATATTATTATACAATTACAGTGGAATAAACTTTAGTCAATTTGACACCAATATAATGCTATTACCTAATAAGGAAGGTTGGGCAATCCTACTTCCATAATGATACTGCCTCGGAAACCCAAGGAGGGGTCGCTATGAGTCAGGGCCAACTCGATGGCACATAACAACAACAACACAATGTATAGTACATATTCAAGTTTCACTGATCATTCAAGTATTGTCCTTTATAGTGTGTCTCCCCACACTCTATCCCCTCCTGTCAGAAATATCCATTGTATTTACTTTTCATATCTCTTTAAAATCCATTGTCACTGAATCAGTTCTGACTTATAACAACTGTATAGGACAGAGGAGAACTGCTCTATAGGGCTTACAAGACTGTAATCTTTACAGAAAGTCCTCACAACAGGACCAATAAGCAACATCATGATAAACAGAGAAAAGACTGAAGTTGTCAAGGATTTCATTTTACTTGGATCCACAATCAACACCTATGGAAGAAGCAGTAAATAAATCAAACAACATATTTCACTAGGCAAATCTTTGTAAAAGACCCTCTGTAAAGTATTAAAAAGCAAGGATGTCACTTTGAGGACTAGGTGCATCTGACCCAAGCCATGGTGTTTTTAATTGCCTCATATGCATGTGAAAGCTGGACAATGAATAAAAAAGACTGAAGAACTGATGCATCTGAATTATGGTATTGGCAAAAAATACTGAATATTCCCTGGACTGCCAGAAGAATGAACAAATCTCTCTTGGAAAAAGTACAGCCACAATGCTTCTTAGAATTGAAGATGGTTAAGAATTTATCTTATATACTTTGGACATGTTATTAGAAGGGACCAGTCCTTGGAGAAGGACATCACTTTTAGTATAGTAGACGGTCAGAGAAAAAGAGGAAGACCTTCAGCAAGATGATTGACACAGTGGCTGCAACAATGGATTCAGGACATAGCAATGACTGTAAGGATGGCACAGAACCAGGCAGCATTTGGTTTTGTTGTACATAGGGTCACTATGATTTGGAACTGACTCAATAGCACCTAACAGTAACAACAGCAATCTTTAATTGAGTTGGAAGTAACTCATGGTATACTTTTCCCTTCCTACAAAAACAAGTATTTTCTAGTCTGTACACTGAATAGGCCTAAAGGCAATGGCAACCCATTGACAATAAACTTCACGAATTGCCATCACTGAGATTGTGGTATCTAAACATTATTTCACAATAAAAGCAACTAGACCCCTTGCCCAGGCCTGGGGAAGGAAATTTACTAAATGACCCTTACATGGCTTATCACACTAGACAAGTAAGGAAATTATCAGAATGCTAATAAAATAGCAAACAAAAAATACCCAACAAAACAATAAAAAACCCAAACCAAATCCACTGATAGCACCTTGATTCTCATAGTGACCCTACAGGACAGATTAGAAATATGCTCATAAGGTTTCTAAGGTGGAAATCTTTAGAAAAGCAGACTACCACATCATTCTCTTGTAGTGTGGCTGGTGGGTTCAAACTACCACCAGGGCTCCTCATCAGAATACTAGGTTAGTGTAAAAGAACACAGAAGATAGCTAAAGTAGCTACCACTGGCTAACGATGAACAATTTGAGCATAGAAATGAATTTCACATCATACCTATAAAAATCCATTAGTTCATAAAAGTACAGGAAAAAGTATACTAATTTGGAGGTTTTGGAAATTGCAAGTCTGAAAATTGGTGAGTAATAGGAAAGAATCAAGCACTTATTGTGCTTTCCTTATACAAACTATCAGAGTAATAAATTTGATAAGGGAAAGGTCTTCATAGAAGATTTTAAGTTAATAAAAGTGGGAGGAATTAGAATCAGACAACTATCATTTTACAAATAAAATCATCAATCTAGGCAATAAATCAAAGGATGCTAAAACCATTCAGTGAAAAGGCTGATGGTACAAATTTGGCAAAATACTGAAAATTGCTAAAGTCAAGTGATAAGTATATGAGGATCCATTATATTAATCTTTCTACTCTTTTGTAAGGTTGGATTGAAAGTTTCCATAATAAAAATGCTTTTCTCTCTTCCTGTTCCCTGTACACAACAATATCACATCTAGCATATTATCTGGTGCATAGTGGTCAATTATTTGTTGTTATGAATGTAAATGGTCAACACGCTGGGCTACTAAATGAATGGTGGGAGTTATAGTCCATCCAGAGGTACCTCAGAAGAAAGATCTAGGGTTCTGAAAAATCAGCCGTTGAAAACCCATGGATCATAGTTCTACTCTGATAAACATAAGGTCTCCATGAGTCAGAACTAACTCAACTGGTTGGGTTTTGGTTTATTGTATGTTCAGTTATATCTTATTTCTTTGCCTGAAAATAGCTTCACATTTCTAAAGAGTTTTTGTTTTGTCTAAACAATACTACTCAAACTTTAATGTGCCTGGGGATCTTATTAAAATGAGTACTCCAAGTCAGCAGGTTTTGGGTAGTGCTTGAGATTCTGCATTTCTAAGTTCCCAGATGCTGCTTGTCTGTGGACCGTACTTTGAGCATCAAGGATCTACACCACTGATAAATTAGGAAGACAAGATATGGTTCACTACCTAATTTCAGGAATATGAAATAAAATATTACAGTTATTTATCTACCAAGTTCAGTAATTCAATGGAGCCCTTCAACTACCATGGTTGTACTAAGGTTGGGGAAACTCTAGCTTCCATAGGGCTAAGTCAGAACTGATGCTCCAACTACAGCCGTGGCATTGGGGAATCATACACACTGCACATAAAAAAGTATGTGGTAACAAAATAGATAAATGGGATCTTGTAAAAAATACTTTTGTTCATCAAAGGATTTTATCAAAATAAGAAAAAGACAAGCTACAGGTTGGGAAAAATTCGAGGGAACAATATATTCAATAAGGGTCTCATATCCTCTCTGTGTGTGTGTGTGTGTGTGTGTGTGTATTGTACGCAGGGGCAAGAGAAGCCAGGGCAACCACAGAGCAGAGCAGTACCAGGAATCCAGGTAAGGGGAGGGACCCAGGCCTCACCCCTAAGAGTCAAGAAAGCAGCAGAAAGAGAAGCCAGGGGGACCACAGAGCAGAGCAGCACCAGTGATCGAGATAAGGAGAGGGACCTAGGCACCACTCCCAAGAGGCAGGAAAGTGGGGGAAAGAAAAGCCAGGGTGACCACGGAGCAGAGCAGTGCCAGGGATCCAGATAAGGGGAGGGTGGAGAGGGTTCAAACAGCTAAGCGAGACAAACCTGTCAGTTTGTTGTACTGTGGTGGCTTGTGTGTTGTTGTGAGGCTTGAGGCTGTGTCACCGGTGTTTCAAGTGCTGGCAGGGTTGCACATGGTGCACAGTTTCAACGCAGCTTACAGACTGAGACAGACTAGGAAGAAGGAAGAGGTCATCCACTTCTCAAAGAATTGGAGATGGTGAAAACCTTATGAATAGCAGTGAAACACCATCCGATATAACACTGTCTGAAAAACTTTATGAATAGCCCTGAAACATGATTCGCTACAGTGCCAGAAGATGAGCCCATCAGGTCAGAAGGCACTCAAAATATGACTGGGAAATGGGAAAGAGCTGACTCCTCAGAGTACTACAGATAACCTATATGATATGGATGGAGTAAAGCTTTTGGGACCTCCATTGGCTGATGTGGCATGACTTAAAATGAGTAGAAACATGCAAACATCCATTAATAATTGGAACATGGAATGTACAAAGTATGAATCCAGGAAAATTGGAAGTTGTCAAAAATGAACTGAAATGCATAAAGATTGATATCCTAGGCATTAATGAGCTGAAATGGACTGGTTTTGGCCATTTTGAATCAGACAACTATACAATCTACTATGCCAGGAATGACAAATTGAAGAGGAATGGTATGGCATTTATCATCACAAAGAGTGTTTCAAGATCTGTCCTGAAGTACAACGCTGTCAGTGATAGAATATCCATACACCTACAAGGAAGACCAGTTAATACTACTATTACTAAATCTATGCACCAACCACCAAATCCAAGGATGAGGAAACCGAAGATTTCTACCAACTTCTATAGTCTGAAATTGATCAAACATGTAATTAAGATGTGTTGATTATCACTGGTGACCGGAATGCAAAAGTTGGAAACAAGAGTTACTGGAAGTTGGAAAATAGGGCCTTGGAGATAGAAATAATGCTGGAGAGCACAGGATAGAATTTTGCAAGACCAACGACTTATTCATTGCAAATACCTTTTATCAACAACATAAGCGATGGCTATACATGTAGACTTCACCAGATGGAATACAGGGGAATCAGACTGACTACATCTGTGGCAAGAGGCAATGGAGAAGTTTAGTATCTTCAGCCAAAAAAAGGCTAGGAGCTGATTGTGGAACAGACCATTATCTGCTAATATTCACGTTCAAGTTGAAGTTGAAGACAATTAAAACAAGTCCATGAGAGCCAAAATATGACCTTGATAATATCTATCCTGATTTAGAAACCATTTAAAGAATAGATTTGATGCATTGAACACCAGTGACCAAAAACCAGAAGAATTGTGGGAAGACATCAAGAACATCATCCACGCAGAAAGCAAGAGGTCATTAAAAAGACAAGAAAGGAAGAAAAGACCAAAATGGATGCCAAAGAGACTCTGAGACTTGCCCTTGAATGGAGACTAGCTAAAGCAAATGGAAGAAATGACAAGATAAAAGAGCGGAATAGAAGATTTCAAAGAGCAGATAAAGCCAATTACTATAACGAAATGTGCAAAGACCTAGCATTACAAAACCAAAAGGTAAGAACATGCTTGGCATTTCTCAAGCTGAAAGAACTGGGGAAAAAATTTAAGCCTTGAGTTGAAATACTGAAAGATTCTATAGGCAAAATATTGAATGATGCAGGAAACATCAAAAGAAGATGGAAGGAATACACAGTCACTATACCAAAAAGAATTGGTCAATTGTCATCCATTTCAGGAGGTGGCATACGATCAAGAACCAACGGTACTGAAAGAAGAACTTGAAGCTGCACTGAAGGAAGTGGCGAAAAACAAGGCCCCAGGAATTGATGGAATACCCATTCAGATGTTTCAACAACCGGATGACCTGCTGGACTCACTCACTCAGCTGTGCCAAGAGATTCAGAAGACAGCTACCTGTCCAACTGCTTGGAAGAGATCCATATTGTACCCATTCCAAAGAAAGGTGATCCCACAGAATGTAGAAATTATCTAATAATATCATTAACATTACATGCAAGCAAAATCTTACTAAAGATAATTCAAAAACAGTTGCAGCCGTATATTGGCAGAGAACTTCCAGAACTGTAAGCTGGATTCAGAAGAGGAAATGGAATGAGGGATATCATTGCTGATGTCAGATGGATCTTAGCTGAAAGCAAAGAATATCAGAAAGATGTTTACATATGTTTTATTGACTATGGAAAAGCATTCAATTATATGGATCATAACAAATTATGGATAACATTGAGAAGAATGGGAATTCCAGAATACTTGATTGTACTCATGAGGAACTTGTACATAGATCAGGAGGCTGTCATTCGAACAGAACAAGGGAATACTGCATGGTTCATAATCAAGAAGGGAGTGCATAAAGATTGTATCCTTTTACCGTACTTATTCAACTTGCATGCTGAGCAAATAATCTGAACAGCTGGATTATATAAAGAAGAACACAGCATCAGGATTGGAGGAAGACTCATTAACAACCTGTGATATGCAAATGACACAACTTTGCTTGCTGGAAATGAGCATGACTTGTAGTATTTACTGATGAAGATTAAAGACTCCAGTCTGCAGTATAGATTACAATTCAATATAAACAAATGAAAATCCTCACACCTGGACCAATAAGCAGCATTCCAATAAATGGAGAAAAGACTGAAGTTGTCAAAGGTTTTATATTACTGGGATCCACAATCAACACCAATGGATAAAGAGCCAAAAAACACATGATGTATTGCACTGGGCAAACCTAACACAAAAACTTTAAAGTGCTGAAGAACAAAGATGTTTCTTTGAAGACTAAGGTGCATCTGACACAAGCCATGGTATTTTCAATCACCTCATACACATGTGAAAGCTGGAGAACGAATAAGGAAAACTGAAGAAGAGTTGATGCTTTTAAGTTGTGGTGTTGGCAAAGGATATTGAAAATATCATGGACTGTAGAAGAACAAACAAATCTGTCCTGGAAGTACAGCCAGAATGCTCCTTGGAAATGAGAATAGCTAGGCATTGTCTCACCTACTTTGGACATGTTATCAGAGACCATGACATGGTTGCAACGATGGGCTCAGGTACAGCAAGGATTGTAAGGATAGTGCATGACCAGGCAGTGTTTCGTTCTGTTGTGCATAGGGTCTCTATGAGTCAGAGCCAACTTGATGGCACCTAACAACAACAACGTTTGGGTGAACGCCACGGGAATGAGTTCCATTCTAGTCCTGAAGGGCGACTAAAAGCCATAGTCTCGGGGGTTTCACCAGTCTCTGTCAGACAAGTAAACCTGGTCTTTATTATAATTTTGAGTTTTGTTCCACATTTTTCTCCCACTCTATCCACAACCTGCTACAATGATCCCTTTCTGAGTGGTTGACCATGGTAGCTGGGCATGAACTAGTTCTTCTAATCTCAGAATTATGTAGGCTAATTGTTTCCACGTGTCTTTGGTTTTCTTCATTCTTCGTTGCTCAGAACAAGGAAAGACCAATTGTTGCGTCTTAGATGATTGCTCACAAGCTTTTAAGACCCCAGTCACTACTCACCAAAGTAGGATGTAGAACAATGTTCTTGTATAGAATTTTATGTCAGCTGAGCTTGATTTCCCTTGTGACCATGGTACTGGACTCACCAGCCCAACTACTTGCTCCCTCAGCGTGGTTGGCTGTGATCAAGAAGTTATCAAAACTTTGCCCCCTCCTCGCTCTACCATAAATATGGATACTCTTATAGCACATACAAATACATATATAGAAATATCATCTGCCAAACTTGCATACAGTCATAGGTATATTCCCTTTAGCCTACACATACCTGATCATTCAGCCTGTCTACCTATGTATCCACCTATAGATTAATGTTTGCTATTACTGATAATGCAGTATTGCATATGTAAAAATGTTTATCTTTGTAGTTTGTACCTCTTGTGCACTGCTGTCGTTTGATTTGCCTGCTGCTTTCATGGGGGTTGATTATGGACCCAAGTAAAATGAAATCCTTGAGAACTTCAATCTTTTCTCCATTTATCATGTTGCTTATTAATTAATCTAGTTCTGATGATTTTTGTTTTATGTTTGAATGTATTCTATACTGAAGGCTGTAGTCTTTGATCTTCAGTAGTAAGTCCTTCAAGTCTTCTTCACTCTTGGAAATGAGGTTATGTCATCTGCATATTGCAGGTTGTTTAATGAGTCTTTCTCCAATCCTGAAGCCACATCTTTCTTCATATAGTCAAGCTTCTCCAATGATTTGTTCAGCATATAGATTGAAGAAGTATGGTGAAAGCATACAACCTTGACACACCCCTTTCCTGATTTTAATCCATGCAGTACACCTTTGCTCTGTTCAAATAACTGTCTCTTGGTCTATGTACAGGTTCCACATAAGCATAATTAAGTGTTCTGGAATTCCCATATTTCTCAATGTGATCTATAATTTATTATGAACCACACAGTCAAATGCCTTTACGTAGTGAATAAAACAAAAGTACATCTTTCTAGTACTATTTGCTTTCAGCCAGGATTCATCTGACCTCAGCAATGATAGCAGCCCTTGTTCCATGCCTTCTTCTTCTGAATCTGGCTTGAATTTCTGGGAGTTCCCTGTCAATGTACTTGCATGTGATATATGTGATATTAATGATATTGTTCAATAATTTCCACGTTCTGTTGGATCACCTTTCTTTTTTATGGACACAAACATGGATCTCTTCCAATTGGTTGGCAAGGTAGCTGTCTGCCAAATTTCTTGGCATAAACAAGTGAGTGCCTCCAGCACTTCATCCTTCTGTTGAAGAATCTTAACAGGTATTCCATCAACTCCTGGAGTCATGTTTTTTTACCAATTCCTTCAGTGTAGCTTGTACTTCTTCCTTCAGTACCACTGGTACTTGCTCATATGCCATCTCCTGGAAAGGTTGAGTGACGACTAATTCCTTTTGGTAGAGACTCTGTGTATACCTTCCTTCTTCTTCTGATGCTTCCTGCATCGTTCAATATTTTATGTCAATCGTTGTTGTTGTTGTTGTTATGTGCCGTCGAGTCGGCCCCGACTCATAGTGACCCCTCCTTGGGTTTCCGAGGCAGTATCACTACGGAAGTAGGATTGCCCAACCTTCCTTCCGAGGAGTGGCTGGTGGGTTTGAACCACCAGCCTTCTGGTTAGCAGTCAAGTGCTTTTGCCACTATGCTACCAGAGCTCCTAAATACTCACATTAAATTCCTCATTAGGATTACCAGAGTGTAAGATGCTGCTATAAATGAAAATCAAACAATTCTCAATGCCCAAAGACTGGAAACTCACCATTTCCTAGTAACTTTCTTATTACACACTCAACTTTAAAAGTATTTCTATTTTGTATCCTTCATTTAACAAATACATTGAGTACTATGTGCCAGATTGTTTTAAGTGACTAGTGAAACTTCATAACAACCTTTAAGGTAGGTATTATTATTATCTTTGTTTTACAGATGAAGAATGAGGTATGAGAAGTGAGATAACCTAGCTAAATTCATACAGCAAGTAAGTACCAGAGGTGGACCTTGAACCCAGGCACTGTGAACCCAGGGATTGTACTCTAAAACCACAGAGCTTATTGATTGCTGAATGAAGAAAAAAGTAAAATTATTGACTCACCAAGTAGACATTGTTTGCTGACTGCAGTGAATAATACAAATGGACAATAAAAGGACTTTTGCTTAGTGCCAGTGCATCTCTCTCAGCTTGTACCTGATGAGTCATATTTTTGTTGATCATGTCTGCCTTTTTGACAACCTATAATAGAGAATATTACAACAGACATATTCATTTTTTCTTTATTACAAACTGTTCTCAGGTTTCAAAGTTGCCATCACAAAAACATCCAAAGAAGGGAAATATATTGATCACATTGACACCAGAAAACTCTACCAGAAAAATAGCTAAGATAGTAAAAAGCTATCTTCAAGACAGAACTGGTTACCTCAGCATTACATGGCATATCCCTTTGGGAAGGTAGAATTAAGAAAATGCTACCTGACTGCCCTATGTGTTAGTAGAAAATTCTGTTTTGTGTTTCTTTATCAAAGTACAAAAGATATTAATGTTCTTTGTTGCTGTTGTTGTTGTTATGTGCAATCAAGTGGGACCCAACTCATAGAGACCCCTCCTTGGGTTTCTGAGGCAGTATCACTACGCAAGTAGATTGCCCAACCTTCCTTCCCAGGAATGGCTGGTGGATTTGAACCACCAGCCTTCTGATTAGTAGTCAAGTGCCTTAGACACTATGCTACCAGAGCTCCTAATGTTCCTAGTAAGTCCCAAGATAATTAGGATTCAAAATGGAGTCTCATCAGTAATCACCATGCTATTTCCTTCTAGCATCTTAGTGCTTGAAAAACTAGGTATAGCAGTTTGAATTAGGGTTTTGGTGCTCTGAACAGCTCACTGAATCAGAGTGCACCAAATATATAAGAGTTGAATTAGAGGAAAGGCACAGGGAAAAAATTTAAGGTAGTTCTACCTCACAGAGGGCAGACAGGCAGCAGAGAGAGGCCACTGACTGGCAGACTTGGGCAGCCACCTGAGATCTCCATGGGCCAAGGAAGAAGACACCCTTTATCACTATACCAGTGACCACACCAGCAAACACCCCAAGGATCTACCTTCAGCACCTGACTTTATCAGTAACTTGGGTCGGCTAGGTACAAACTGGCGTGTGCAGCACCACTGAAGCGGAGAGCTCACTGGTGCTCCAGGAGGGTGAGGTTGCTCCCCCCTCAGCAGGTCACTGAGTAAGCTTGGGTCAGCTTGGGAGGCATTAAGAGGTCTGTGCTTGTCTTTTGTCACTGATGTCGGGACCACAGATTACTAGCAGGCACTCTCCCGACTCCAGCGCAGCTGAAATCGCACACATCTTTGGCGCTGCAGGTGGGCGGTATCATAGACAACTCCTGAGCCATTTGAGGTCTGGGCGAATTGGGCGGGTGCTGTGGGCAGACCAGATGGAGAGAGACGAATCCGCAGGCCGAGTGCGGACTGGGAATTTGCCTTGGATCAGCTTTTTGGTGCTGAGGGGCCTCGGAAGCAGGGTCTTTGAGTGTGCCTGAGCCTGGTGGAAAGTGACGACACACTAACAACAGGAACATTTCCTGAAATTGAGCCACAGGCTTGTAAATAACAGTACCACCTCATCAGCAGAGGCCCACGCAAAGCCCTAGAAACCAACCCTAGCAACACCAAGCTTTCCTTCTTCTGCTCCCACCTTCTCCACCAATAACTTCACTCAATCAATAGAAGAAACCATATTCAGCCAATTACCATAAAACCTCCCAGTTTGAACTCTAAACCCTCTTCACGACAAACAGAAACACATATCCACATTCCACACAGTGATTCCACCATCACAAAGAAAACTGCAGAGTGACCCAGCATACCTTATCAATAATAAAATACACCAGCTTCACCTTTTCAAAATATTAAACCATAAAACCAAGACAAAACAAATAAACACATAACCAGCAGTTGAAGACAACCTCAAAATGTCTAGGAAACAACAGGCAACCTCAAATCAAACAAAAAAACAGAACAAGGCATTAGAAGCAAAACCACAAACAAAGGTCTCATTATACATGGAGGAAGAGGAGGCAATAGAATTATCTGAGAAGGAATTTAGAAGATATGTTTATAGAGCTATACAAGAGCCTAAGGAAACCCCAAACAGAAACAAGGAGAATACAGTTCCCTGGAGGAACTCAGGAAAATCACTGAGGAACAGCATATTAAGATTAATGCACAATCAGAACTCCTACAAAAATAGCAGTTAGAAATGCAGAAGTTGTCTATTGATATGCAAACCATGAGCACCAAAATGACAGAACTACACTACACAGTAGAAGCTCAAAAGAGTAGATTAGAACTGGCTGAAGAACGCATATCCCAACTAGGAGACAAATCCCTGGACACTAGCCTATATGAAGAAAAATCAGAACAAAGATTTAAGAGAAATGAAGAGAGTCTAAGAATTATATGCGATGACATGAGATGAAACAATATAAGACTCATTGGAATTCCAGAATAGGAAGAGGCGAAAAAGAGCACCAAGAAAATTGTGGAAGACCTGCTAACAGAAAACTTCCCCCATATCAAGAAGTAAGAAAAGATATTTGTCCAAGAAGCTCATAGAACCCCACACAAGATAGATCCCAAAAGAAAAACACTGAGGCATATTATAATTAAACTTTCTAAAACCAAAGACAAAGAAAAAATTTTGAGAGCTGCCTGGGAAAAAAGAAATATCACTTAAAATAATCAAACAGTTAGGCTGAGCTCTGATTACTCAGCAGAAACCATGCAGGCAAGAAGGCAATGGGACGGTATACATAAAACTCTGATGGAAAAAAAACTTCCAAACAAGAATCCTATATCCAGCCAAATTATCCATCAAATATGAGGGCGAAATCAAGGCATTCTCAGATAAACAGAAATTAAGAGACTTTGTGAAAACCAGACCAACCCTACAAGAAATGCTTAAGGAACTCCTACCAACAGAGAACCCACAACAGAGATCAGCAAAACCAGGATATGTGACATCAACTCTAAAACCAAATCAGAAATAGATACTCAATAAGACCATAAAACATTCTACCTTAAAAACCAAGATAATTGGGAACCTAGGCACAAGTAATAGGAGCTAATATATTTCCTTATTACTTCTGATTCTTTGATAGATGGTACTGTGAATTGAATTTTGTTCCCCAAAAATATGTGCTGTAAATCCTAACCTCTGTGATGATAATCGCATCTGGGAATGGGCTGTCTTTGTTATGATTATTGTCAGGTGTATTTTGAGTCAATCTCTTTTGAGATATAATGCAATGCACTGCCACTGAGTTGGATCCGACTCATAGTGACCCCTCCTTTGGTTTCCGAAGTGGTTTCACTACAGAAGTAGATTGCCCAACCTTCCTTCCAAAGAGTGGTTGGTGGGTTTGAACTGCCAGCCTTCTGGTTAGCAGTCAAATACCTTAGGCACTAAACCATCAGAACAAGCTAAGAAGTAGAGAGATAGGGGAAGACAGATGCCAAGCCATACTAAGATTGCCCAGGAACAGAAGCTCAGAGAAAAGGACCTTCCATTGGAGCCAAAAGAGAAATGCCTTCCCCTAGAGCTGGCTCTCTGAATTCAGACTTTTAACTTCTTATCTGTGAGGAAATAAATTTATTTTTGTTAAAGCTACGCTTTGTGGTATTTCTGTAATTGTTGTTATGTGCCGTCGAGTCAGCCCTGACTCATAGTGACCCCTCCTTGGGTTTCCGAGGCAGTATCACTACGGAAGTAGGATTGCCCAACCTTCCTTCCGAGGAGTGGCTGGTGGGTTTGAACCGCCAGCCTTCTGGTTAGCAGTCAAGTGCCTTAGCCACTATGCTACCAGAGCTCCCATTAACACTAAATAACTAAAACCAATGGAATAGAATTAGAAACAGGAAGAATGCTGGAAATTTGTTTGCCTAGTGAAAAAAGTCTTAAGCAAGAATAGTTAGAAGTGCTGAAACTTACCAGTTCCAAATGCTATCCTATAGAAAACAAATTACTCTTTTCAAAATTCAGAAAAATTGCTACAGAAACAAAATTATAATCTACATTAATGCTGGAGCACTAAACTAAATAGTGACAATTGGGATCAATTCTCAGGAACATGACAAGAAAAAAAATGTCATATTTCTTACAAAGATTCATTCAAGTATTCAATAAAATAATTCATATACTGTCAATTCCAGCCTTAACACCTTTCCATAACAAAGCTGATGGAAATGGACAAAGTAAGCCTGTGACATGATTCTGTCTATCATTCCACTGAATTGGCAGCTCTTTGAGGGCAAGTTTGTATTGTTTACTACTGTACTCCAGATTCTATACAAAAAGGGTATGCTCAAAAAATATCAAACAAATGAATTTGTGTTTTCATTTCAACAATTACTACAGATTGATTATTAAATTTCACGAGAGCAGTGGTAGAATTCCGCCTTCCATACAGTGGGAGACCTGGGTTCAATTTCTAGTCAACGCACTTAAAAGCATAGCCACCATGCACCTATCAGTGGAGGCTTGCATGTTGCTATGATGTCAAACTGGTTTCAGCAAAGTTTCCAGACTAAAACAGACTAGGAAAAAAGGCCTGGCAATCAACTTCCAAATATCAAATCAAAAACCAAACCCACTACCATCAAGTCCATTCTGACTCAGAGTGACCCTATAGGACAGAGTAGAGAAAGCCATAGGGTTTCCAGGCTGTAAATCTTTACAGAAGCCAACTGCCTCATCTTTCTCCCACAGAACAGCTGGTGGGTTCAAACTGCCAACTTTTTGTTAGCAGCCAAGTGCCTTAAACATTGCACTCCAGATCTTCTTTACAAAAATCAGCCAGTGAAAATCCTACGGATCACAATAGTCCAATCCAGTTTTGCATAGGGCATCATGAGTCAATGCTAACTTGATGGCAGCTAACAACACAGTAAGTTTAGTAGAAAGAAAAGCAAAACATGTTTAGAGTATATGAAACAAGGACAATTAACTCCAATGGGGTAGGTCTGAAAAATAGAGAAGGTGTGAAGAAGAGTTAAGATGAAACTCAATACTTAAATGATTCCAGTTGGGGGCTATTCCAGTAGTCTAGGAAGGGAAACGAATGACTGATAAACCTCAAAAACATCATGGTAAGTGAAAAAAGCCAGATATAAAAGATCATATTGCATGATTCCATTTATGTGAAATGCCTAGAAAAGGTAAACGTATAGAATTAGAATTAATCTTCCAAGATGTACAGCCAGAATACTCCTTAGAAGTGAGGATGGAGAGAATTTGTCTTGCTTACTTTGCACATGTTATCAAAAAGGACCAATCACTTGAGAAAGGTATTATTCTTGGTAAAGGGTCAGCAAACAAGGAGATGGATTGACGCAATGGCTGTAACAATGGGCTCAAACATATCAAAGATTGTGAGGATGGCACAGGACAGGGCAACACTTCATTCTTTTATACATAATGTCACTATGAGTCAGAGCTGACTCCAAGGCAACTAACAATCACAGAGATAGAAAGTAGATTAGTGGTTACCTGGGGTTGGGTGTGGTAAGGGAAAAGACACTGCAGATGGGTGGAAAAGATCTTTTCAGGGTGACGGAAATGTTTTACTTGAATTGTATTGATACTTACACAATTCTTTAATTAAGAAATGAAAGTCTGTATTTGGGAATGGAAAAAAAGAGGTAAAATGAATGAATGTGAGAGATACCACAGAGAATTGGGAGCTCTGGTGGCGTAGTGCCTAAGACATTTGACTGCTAACCAGAAGGCTAGCAGTTCAAACCCACCAGCCACTCCTCAGAAGGAAGATTGGGCAATCTACATCCATAGAGATACTGCCTTGGAAACCCAAGGCGGGGTCACTATGAGTCCAATGGACTCCATGGCAGTGAGTTGTTTTTTTTTTAGTTGAGATAAGATATACAAATAAAACAGAAGGTAAAATGACTAGGTTTCTAGTCTAAATGACAGGGATGATGGCGAAAGAGAGAAGGAATACAGTAGGTTCAGAATTTAGGTGGTTACATGGAGAGGACTGCTCAAGTTTAAGGAAATATAATTTGAAAGTGCTTGCTAGACATGAACATGGCAATGTCCAACGACAGGTTGAAACTGCATCTAGCACTCAGATTGCTAATTTCTCTTTTCCTTTATTATCTATGGGAGTGGGCTGAGAACCAAGAGTAGGCAGAATAGTTTAAATACATTGAAAGCTCTTGAAGGTTTTTAGAATGATGTATACTACTGTATGGATAAAGGACATATTTTTGCTTAGTTTTTAAATAAAAGTACATTCTAAGTTTCATAATAATGGAAAGTTTGGAGAAAATTAAGAGTGTTTCAAACTTAATCCTGATGAAGGTCAAATCATAATGATTAAGAAGATATATAAAATGAGTACATAATAATAGCATCTAAAATTTTCATAACAGATTTAACAGAAAACAATGCAGCTTTCTAAGGGTTAGGGCCAAATAAGCTGTTAGCCTATTATTAGTAACAAATCTACACCAGGATGTCAAAGTTGAGAAGTGAGTACTTAGAAACTAATCACTTCTGTGGTCTAAGTTCAGCGATTATGTACTAGAAAAGCAAGCAAACAACAAAAACAAAACCATCCAACTACTTTAAAACTTTTTGGATTTAGAAACCTGAGTAAAAGTCTGGTTTAGACTATCTACCAGGGCTTTGACTTTAAACTCTTTTACCTAGTACTTTAGTCTTTGGCCTCAGTTTCCTCATTTGCTAAGTTTGCTATTCTCACTAGCAGTTATGGTGACTCCTAAACATCCGAGGGAGCTCTGGTAGCGTAGTGCCTAAGGCACTTGACTGCTAACCAAAAGGCTGGCGGTTCAAACCCAACAGCCACTCCTCGGAAGGAAAATGGGGCAATCTACTTCCATAGTGATACTGCCTCGGAAACCCAAGGAGGGGTTGCTATGAGTCGGTCCGACTCGACGGCACATAACAACAACAACATATGTGTGTATATGTGTGTGTGTGTGTGTGTATATATATATATATATATATATATATATATGTATGTATATCTCCACATGTTCACAGTGACCTAAAATAAAGGAGAGTGGTATATGGAAGGAAGATGGGCAATCTATTTCCGTAGTGATGTTGTTGTTATGTGCCGTGGAGTCTCATAGCGATCCCTCCTTGGGTTGACGAGGCAGTATCCCTACGGAAGGAGATTGCCCAACTTTCCTCCCTGGGAAACCCAAGGAGGGGTCGCTATGAGTCGGGTCCAACGCGACAGCACATAACAACAACAACAAACATCCGAAGTGTGGCGAAGAGGGCGGGGCAAAGTTTAGACACAGACTTGCCCCCGCTTTTGTCACTCCAAGTGGAGTGAGCTCACTGGGCTCAGAAGGCTTTATTTAGCAAGCTCAACCCCTTGGACTAGTGGCTCTAGCAGTCTCTGGACCTGCCTAAGTCAAAGGGCAGGAAAAAGGGCCAAAGCGCCGGTCTCTTTCCCTTTACTCCTTCCTGATTTCCTACCTTCACTGCATACAACTTGCCGCTTTTCTGCCCCAGATACACTTTCCCGAAGGCGCCACGGCTAATGGGCTTCACAATGGTGAATTCCTCAATGGAAGGTGGTCTTGGCACGAGGACCCGGTTCACGCACTCCCCAGTCGCCGCGCCTCCTTCGCTCTCCTCGCAACTCGCGGTGGGCTCCATCCCAGCTTAAAAGGGAACAGGCAGCAGCCGCCACCACCCCTTTCCAAGCAGCAACTCCCGCCAATTGGATTCAAAGTGAGGCTCCGCCCCCTCACGCACTCCTGTAGTGACGTCACCGCGTTACCGCGCTCGGGCGTCAGCCATGCGTAGCCCCGCCCCCTGCCAATTTTTCTTGGTAGATGCTGGAAAAAACCCTTGGGAGTGAGGGTGGGGCTGCTAGAAACGACTCCAGAGGACTACCAGCAGTTGTGTGGTGGTGCCTGTGGCCCACTTATTTCTTTTGTAATGAGGGGGAGTGAAAAATAGTTCTTGAATGACTTGAAAAGGACAACCAGACTTAAATCTGAATCGTGGGTTTTTCAGTAGATTTTTTCTTAGTCTCCAAATAAGGCCACTCCTCGGAAGGAAGGTTGGGCAATCCTACTTCCGTAGTGATACTGCCTCGGAAGCCCAAGGAGGGGTCGCTATGAGTCGGGCCGACTCGATGGCAAATAACAACAACAAATAAGGCTAGTGAGACCCTGCTTTCATCCCATTCAAGATCTATTTTCCCCACTCGAGTCCTCCAACTCTTGCAAATAATAAAAACTAATTGATTCCTCTGTAAAGTGACAAATCAGGGAGTAGGTTTGGAAGATTGTTAAGTTATGGAATGTGGAGAAACTGGATGAGTAGGAAGCAGGTGCTGATCCTGTAATCGATGTTTTAACAGGATGTAACTTGCCTGACTGAAATTACGAGGACAAGCAGGAAGAATCTATTTTAAATTTTTATGGGGAAGATGGGAGTTCTGCTGGCGTAGTGCCTAAGGCATTGACTGATAACGTGGAGGCTGGCGGTTCAAACCCACCAGCCACACCTCCGAAGGAAGATTGGCCACTCTACTTCCGCAGTGAAAGCGCTTGGGAATCCCAAGGAGGGATCGCAATGAGTGGCATCCAAATGAAGGCAGTGAGTTTGTTTTTTCGGAAGGTAAAGAGGACTAAATCGTAGTAAAAGACTCAAGGTCTAGTCGGAGAAGGGCAATAAATTGCAAGATTTGATAAGGACGCTATAGAAAATTTAGGAGATATTTATCAGGGTTCATGCAATTCTTCCTTAAAACAAACAAAAAACCTTCCACAGTCAAGAGGTTAGAGGTTAAAAAACGTGTATTAGTCAGTGCGAATTAACTACTTTGAAGGCCAGCGGTTTTCCCACAGAGGATCGGCCAGCATAAACGCCAGGTTTTGGAAGGCGGTACTCTGACGCACATCCCAAGGCGCTAGCGCTCACCTGACCCGGAAGTACTATTGATCTTGACTCTAGCCTTCCGGGGCAGATTTGTCTGTCGTTGCAGCAGCTGTGGAAAGGGGAGGCCATTTTCCGTCTGGGAGTAGTGAGGGGATAAAGGGAGGAAGCAAAAGAAAGTAAGAAAGGGCTTAACGCCTCCCCGCCGGGCCGTGCACAGAGGGGCCTTTTCGGCAGGCGGGTGAGGTCGCTGAGGGCCCGGAGGAGATGTTTTCCCTGTCAAGCACTGTGCAGCCCCAGGTGAGTCCGTCATCCAGTCCATTTTACTCCGTCCCTGATCACAGCGGTGTGCCAGTTGTGTTTCATAGAAACAGTTTCCCAGAACGGGATGTAGAAGAGAATGATTCACTCATCTTTGAGTCCCTGGGTTGAGAAGTGAATCGGAACACGCTGAGAGTCCTGCCTGGGACTTAATATAAGTGCAGAAGATGAGGCTGTTGGGGGGCAGAGGCGTGCTAAGAGTATGATGGAGACATTGGCTTATTGAGCTGATTGCCTGGAGTTTCTGCGTGAGAATATGTCAGGCATTGTTGGGCATTCTAGGTGTGAGGGTGGGGAAAATGTCTGCAGTAGTTGTAAAGGAAGCAGATAATGTTTCCTTTCTACCCTTTTGCCTCTCCAGAACAGTCTTTGGTATTTACACCCCTAATCCTCTACTGTTTCTTTCCCTTTACATGGAATATAGCCGAAACATGTTATAATAATTCAGTGGCCTGCCACAGATGATTTTTCTTTTTGATAAGAAATGACTAACATTTTCAAGCCGTTGACTCCTTGTGATTAAAATTTTCGACTCAGCCTCATCTTTTTTGTAAAATGAAAGAAGAGAAAAAATTGAATTCAAAGATTTTGATTATTCCCTCTCTTTGAAGTAATCACTTGTGACATTGTTTTGTTCTTGGTTTACTTAAAATGTAGCAATTTTTTTTTGAGGATTCTCAGTTTTCCAAGTAAACAGGGTTTTTTTAGACCATTTCTTTTCTTTCTTCTTCTTTTTTTTTTTTTTTTTTTTGACACTCTTGGTTTCTTGGTTTAACATGATTGTGTTCCTTCATGTAATTCCTTTCCTCAAACCCTCTCCTTTTGTTTGCTGGTAATGGCTGAGTAATAGAAAATGAAGTGATTATTTACTGGCCATCAAGTATGTGCCCTGTGAATAAAAGCAAGTGTAGGATCTTGTCTTAATGAAGATATGAAGTAAAAGATGGGTAGGAGTTCACCAGATGAAGACTGAAAGAAAGCTAACAGGCATCCCATGCAGAAGGAGGAATATTTGACTCCTGGGATAGAAAAGAGTTTAAGCAGATGGGAGGAACAAAAATAAGACCAGTGTGGGTAGAGCACTGTGATTAAAGGAAGCAGTGACAGATGAAGTTTGAGAAAAGCCTTGAGGCAAATTATAGTAGTTGGTTGCAGGTTATGCTAAGGAAGTTTGGGTTTTATTTCAAATTATTGGAGCCATTGAAGGTTTTTAAGCAGAGGAATAATATCAGATGTACACTTTTCAGCAGATCACTCTGGCAGCTTGCTGTATGGAAGATATTTGTGGGGTGGGGAGGACAAGACTTGAAGCCTTATCAGTTGACTTGACTGCAACTAACAACAAAAGAAGCTCTGGTGGCATAGTGTTAAAGCATTTGGCTACTAACTAAAAGGTCGGTGGTTGGAACCCATCAGCTACTCTGGGAGAAAGATGAGGCAGTCGCTTCTGTAAAGATTTACAGCCTTGGAAGCCCTATGGAGCAGTTCTGCTTTGTCCAGTAGGTTGCTAATGGTTGGGATAGACTTTATGGCAGTTAATTTGGATTTTTTTTTTTTTTTTTTGGTTCGACAACAACAATAGCTGTTATACTAATCCAAGAGAGTGATGATGCCCCCACTAAAATGGTGGAAAAAATGGATAGTATTCATTTTGAAGAAAGAAAAGAATACCATGAGGGACTGGATATGAGGGATAAAGGGGTAAAGGTGCTTCTGATTTGATCAGCTAGATGCATGAAGGTGCTCTTTACCAAGATGACAGTGTCTAAAAGAGATGTGGCAACTTTTTGAAAAAAGAAATCTAACTCAAGTCTGGTGAATACAGTATTAAACTTCTTGAAACTAAACTACTTAGTTCACATCAAGAAGACCTGATTTCAGAAATTACCATCAACTAATTGGATGGAGAGTTACCCAAAACCAAGCCCACTGCCATCAAGTCGGTTCCTACTCATAGCAACCCTGTAGGACAGAGTAGAACTACCCCCATAGGTTTCGAGGCTGTAAATCTTTGTAGAAGCAGACCACCTCATCTTTCTTCCACAGGATCGATGGTGGATTTAAACTGCCTAATTTTTGGTTAGCTGAATATTTTAACCACTATGCCACCAGAGCTCCTTGGATTGAGAGTTAGTAGATGACAATAGATGTTAATAGAGATGAAGAGACTTTAGGTACTAAAGGCATTCTGTGTTTAAATATAGGACCCTTATACATTTTTACTGTAAAAAATGGTGTATTAGTTTCCTAGGGTTGCTGTAACAAAGTACCACAAACTGTGGCCTCAAAAAAATAAATGTGTTATATTACTGTCTGAGGAGCTCTGGTAGCATAGTGCCTAAGGCACTTGACTGCTAACCAGAATGTTGGCGGTTCAAATCCACCAGCCACTCCTCGGAAGGAAGGTTGGGCAGTCTAATTGTGTAGAGATACCACCTCAGAAACCCAAGGAGGTGTCGCTATGAGTTGGGTCCAACTCAACAGCACTTAACAACAGCAACAACATTTGCCAGGCAAGGAGGTGACGCTGTGAGTCAGATGCGACTCTATGGCAGTGGGTTTGGTTTTTGTTTGTTTGTTTTATATACCAGGCGGGAGCTCTGGTGACATAGTGCCTAAGGCATTTGACTGCTAACCAGAAGGCTGGCGGTTCAAACCCACCAGCCACTCCTCTGAAGGAAGATTGGACAGTCTACTTCTGTAGAGATACCGCCTCGGAAACCCAAAGAGGGGTCGCTATGAGGCAGATCCGATTCGATGGCAGTAGGTTTTATATGCCAGGCAGGAACCCAGGTGGTTAAAGCACTGGACTGCTAACTGAAAGTTTGGTGGTTTGAACCTATCAGCCACTCCCTGGGAGAAGCATGGCAGTCATTCCTAAAGATTTACAGCCTTGGAAGCCCTGTGGGGCAATTCTATTATGTCTCATAGGTTCCTAGTATCAACTTAAGGCTAGTGGAGAAGGAGTTCTGGTGGCGCAGTGCCTTAGGCATTTGGCTGCTAACCAGGAGATTGGTGGTTCAAACCCACCTGCTGCTCCATGGAAGGAAGACGGCAATCTACTTCCATAAAGATTTACTGGCTCAGAAACCCAAGGGGGGTTGCTGTGAGTCAGAGTCTACTCAGTGGCAGTGAGTTTGATTTTATTATTGTTGTTATTATTACTACTACTACTAGATAGACACAGTATTGTATTGTTGTTTGTTGTTATGTGCTGTCGAGTCGGACCCAACTCATAGCGACCCCTCCTTGGGTTTCCGAGGCAGTATCACTACGGAAGTAGATTGCCCCATCTTACTTCCAAGGAGTGGTTGGTGGGTTTGAACCGCCAGCTTTCTGGTTAGCAGTCAAGTGTCTTAGCCACTATGCTACAGTATTGTATAAGATAGAAAAAATTTCCTTGCTTTATGAAGTTTATATTCTAGTGGGAAAGATAGATAACAAGTAAT